TGCCGATGGTTTAGAGGCCACGGTGGTACTACCTTAATTGACCAACGAATAACAAATAAGAACTCTTGCGAGGTATAGAAAAAATTGCAAGTCTCCCAAAAGCTTTCGAGAAGCAAAGGAATGGAGCCTACAAGCAAACTCCGCATGCTGACACACAACTTAAACACAAGAATATGAAAGACTGGTTGCAAACATTGGAATGAACGAGCGATAGCCCCATTTCAAAAGAATGATAACATATCCATCGACTGAAAACAACTACCTGATTAGTTATGGCACCCTAGGAATAAAAGTAATTATTATAATCCTTAATGCGATTACCAGCACGTAGACTAGACCACACAGAATGTCAAAAGAAGACAGACTCGCTCAGGTTCTTTCTACACGAACAGCACTGCGGTGGTATAAGGAGACATAGTGGAGAAAATCGATCAAATCACTATGGGAAAAAAGAAAGCAATGACAAAATTGAAGATGTGCTGGGCGATGCTATGTAAACCTCTCCTCTCCCTTAACATTTCTTTTCTCTAAGAAAAACTTCAAATCTACTAATCAATTCCTGAACTCATGCACTACTCCTAGGTTTTTTGAGAAGACGAAAAATTAACACACCACCCTGGCTAGTGCTCGGCCCGACAGGATTAATGCCTTCGCTAGACTGCATCCTTGTTTTCACAACTTCTAGTGGGCAGGTTAAACAAGTACCTAAAAAACCGTTGCATCAAGATCCAACAAATTCAGTAATGGGTACAAGTGAATTTCTCGTCACAAAAATTAAGCCTCAGTACCTGCGGTCCCTCCGGCGGCCCCACCTATGAAATGAATGACTGCCTCACGGTCCATTAATATTTCTGAAAAGAGATAAATCTAAAAAACATTTCGTAATTATGTGCCACACTTTTCCATAGCATGCAAAAACTAACAGAGAGCAAGCATTGCAAACGAATTAGCTAGAATGAGTGAAAAGGAAGGAAGAAAGGGGGAGATAGAGGATAGGAAAAAATTATGGTTCGCTGCATTGTAGCTCCTCGAGTTCCATCTTTTTTTGGACCAAAATGTGATGTCTTGCCCGTGACTCTGACTCCAAATCTTTGCAAACATTGGACCACTTTTGTCTCAAATTTTCAAAGATCGAATAACTCTAAAAATCTTCCGCCTCTCAGCGTGAATGAGTGCAAAAAGAAAAGGGGGAACGACCAAAGTATAAGTTTGATAATTTTGCGACATTCCGCTGAAATTGTCATGAGGAACGATAAAAACCTGTTCTTGCTGATAGAACCCTAAATTAGGACAG